GCAGAAGCTCCCGAGCCCCACGCGCTCGGGCTGCGCCTGTAATTCCATTTTTCCGCTGCCTCCTTCGGCCACAGCGAACGCCACGGGCTCCGTCTGTGCCCGCTCCAGTGCGTGTGTAATACGGGGAAGGGCTGGCGCTTCGGCCTGCGGAGGACAGCTGCCCTCCTCTGCCCCAGGGAAGCACCCTGCAGTCTTTCGCCACCCGTTTACAGCCCCTGTACATGAACACTGGCTTTAGGAAGCGGTGAAGTCACCTTTTTCTTTACCCTCACCTGTCTAGCCCTGTCTTCCCTTCTGAATTCAGACAGCACCGGTTTTACTTGCCAGGAGTTTCCAATCACACCCTCCTACGCGGCACAAGGCAGCTTCTGAGGAACCTCTGCTTTGTTTCCAGAGATCAAGACCCGTGCAGAAGAGGCACTCGAAGGGCCACTGGCACTCAGGGGCACAGCGGGGCCATCGCCCGCAGTGCTACAGGCAAACACACGCAACAGCAGCGAGAGCGGGTGACCGGGACCTGTCTGAAAGCACGACGAGAATCGTGTCAGGCACAAACCAAAGACCACACCTCAGGAGCCATCTTCCTTCTGCAAAACGTCCCAATGTTTTCTGCAGCTCGGGAACGGCAGCCTTGCAAGGAAAAGCGAGTGTTTTTCCTTCCCAGCGTGTCGGTGAGGACAAGCGCTTCCTCGGAGCCACCGTGGCCGTGCCCTGGGGTGACGCGGGGGCCCAGCGGCTCCGGGGTGCCTTGTGCAGCGGGAGGGGCTGTTGGCAGTGGCAGGGCTCTGCGGGAGGGGAATCCTGCACCAGCGCAGCCCGCTAACCCGAGCGCTGATGTGGGCACCAGCAGAGAACAGATTCGCCGAGAGATGAGGAGCTAAGAAAACAGATTATTTACAGGCACGTGTGCACACGCAGGCTCTGAAAGCAAACGTGCCCCCCCTTCCTTCGAAGTGCGCGGGTATGTACGGCGCGGCAGACACAACCGAGACCGCATCCTCCCCGTGCAGGAGTCAGCGGTGCTTTCCACTGAAATCTGTGAATTCCTGCGAGGTCAGGTTAAACGTCTCTGCCACAACACCACGCTTTTACTGCTGTACAGGTCAACGCGCTGCTCCTGCTGACCTCAGAAACACAGCTGCAGTGTCAGGCATGGCAGCGTTTCCAGAATTACCCAAATAAACATGCAACCTCAAGGTGTAGACTCAGCTGGTTTCACTTCTGCAACACACCTGTACAAAACCAAGGGGACAGGTCCTCGAGCTGTTACATCTCACAGCTCCGCTGCTAACCAGCTGAAGAACCAGCTCCGTTACATGAGGTACCTCAACCACAAATACTTCCAAAGAAAAGGGTTATTAAATTATTTCCTCCAAAGGCTACAGCTGAAACCATGGAGAAGTTCCCGACACAGCATCCGTGGACCCGTAACGCCCTGCTGCTCTAAAGGCACTGCCCACCGCTTGCCTCGTGGGCTTCGGAGCAGCCCTGGGGACGGCGCTCAACACCCTCCTCCTGTAGGAAACTTCCCACCACCTCTCAGAAGACCCCCGCAGATAGACCCCTCCCAGATCGCAAAGCGTTTTGATCCTTGCAAGTTTATTTTTATTGCAGTTTGGAGAAAAATACCCCAAACTTCAAGATGCTCTGCTGGAGGTGACCAAACCCCCACGTGCTTGGTGTCCGGCCGGCCAGGCTGCCCATGCTTCCCTTCCAACCCTTTTGGTGTGACGCAGGGCATCAGGCTTACCCACGTGCAGGTCTCTGTTTCACTTCACCAAAGCTCAACTCCCTAAAACCTTCTGGTGTCACCACGGTGATGTTTTTGCCAGGCAGAACCTCCTGGGCACAGCAGCAGAGATGGGCTTCAGCTTCTCCCTCGCAAAAGCCCTGGCCACTGGAGCCACATCCCCAGCAGCTGCAGAAGGCCCATCACCCATGCCTGAGCCCAGGAGTGACACCTAACTGCTAGCCAAATCATTCCCATACACATCGACATTCATGAACAGCAACTTTCCATTTTGTAATGGAACGTTCCATATCTGGAACGTACACATCGTGCTATAGATCATGATATACCTGACCTTATTTCTAAAATCTCTCCCCTGCACGTTCAAGGGTTTGGGGTTTTTTTTTGCCATAGAAGTCCTGCAAACTAGACTTTAAACAGGTGACATTTCTACCTTGCTACAGCGAGGAAACGCACTGAAGAGGCCATCACAGATCGTCAGAAATGACGGAGCCAAACTGTGAGCACTTCACAAAGTTGGATGAGAGCAACATCATCAGGATTCAATGATCACGTGCCCTTCTGCACAGGCAAGCCAGCTCCCACATCCTACCTTCAATGTTCAGGACTGATATCTGTCAAAATCATCCCAATTATGGCTTTGTCTTTTTTTTTTTAGCCTGACAAGCTTTTTATTTTTCATTCATTCCAGAGTAATCTTTATTTAATGATTACCTGTTAGTTTCAAAAGCTGCTGGGATTATCAGACACTAAAGTTTACCTCAGCTTACACTTATCTGTTCCCTGTGCCTTTGTGAAACGGACTTACCCCGTGGGGCTGCTGTCAGTGGAAGCTTTGTAAGGCAAAAAGCTGGAGTGGGCCCTTAGCGCGCATACACGGAAAGAACAGAACTTATCTGTTTGGGAGCTTTTAATTCAATACAATACTGTCTTTTTATATATTGATTTTTTTTTTAATAAACAGTAACTGTTTATTAGAAAAACAGGGACACCTGGAAAGTTACTTCACTAAACGTAAAGGTTTCATGTTTCCTATTAACTTAAAAATTACATGGTCAGGATTTTACAATTTGTGGTTTCTTTTTAGATTGTTTTGGTTATACGCAAATGTGCTGTGCGAAATACAAAGGCAATAATCTTTCTAAAACTGCTGACGACCAGGTCATTAAGCAAGGTGGCTGGCCACATTTCATAAACTAAAGAACATTGTTGGAAGAGGAATAACTTTTAAAAGTTAAGAGGTGACTTTTGTAAACTCTTACACTGATGACGAGTGCAGGATGATTGCACAATTAATTCTTTGTGGCACAGACAGAAATCTGCAGCCGTAACTGTGGCCGTGTAGAATCTCGGTTATTCTGATGCAGGGTGCTAGGGAAAAAAAAATTTTGAATTCTCCTTTTTATAAAAATACATGTACGAAGGTTCAACTTGTAGGGCCAAGGTGGCACCTAATAAAGGTGCAGCAAAGAGGAGATGACAAATAATGGAAAATTGTAATATATACCGTAATAAAACCTCAGATTTTACTGTTTATTATCCTTAGTGAAGTAGAAGCCCGTACTTCTGTGCTGCACATTTCATCAGTGTGCACAGTAATGCCTGGATGAACTTGAGAGCAAATCCTGCTGACCTTGCTATAATACAAGCAGCCCCACTGCCCCTAGGATTGCATTTCACACAACCACAGCCCACTCCTGCAACACTCGTGTGCCAGAAGATAAAGGCTACTTTATAGAACATGCTGTTTGACACGCAAGACTGCTATCCATATATACATACACATATGTAACTACTTGTCAACTTACAAATCAAAGGTATGTTGCTGATATAAAGAGACAGAGCGCGCGTGCGCCTATTTGCAGGAACAAGAACTTTTTATACATATGTGTGTGTTTATTAAAAATACATTTATAAGATATATAAAAATATGTGTGTAGATCTATAAATATATATAAAAACATACATCAAAAGTTCTCATTCCTACTATATATTTTACATATTTGTTCCTATATATATAAAATATATAAAAAGAAAGTTCTCATTCC